CAACTGGCTCCTTGAGTTTAACCCTGCCAAATGCAAAGGCATGAAGATTGGGGAAGGGTAAAGAAGACCGCAGACACAATATAGTTTAGATGGCCAAAGACTGCAAACCTCACTCAAGGAAAAAGATCTGGGGGTGAGTATAACACCGAGCATATCTCCTGAGGCGCACATCAATCAGATAACGGCTGCAGCATACGGGCGCCTGGCAAACCTACGGATAGCGTTCCGATACCTCAGTAAGGATTCGTTCAAGGATACGTCAGGCCCATACTGGAGTATGCAGCACCAGTTTGGAATCCACACCTAGTCAAGCACGTCAAGAAATTAGAGAAAGTGCAAAGGTTTGCAACAAGACTAGTCCCAGAGCTACGGGGATTGTCCTACGAAGAAAGATTGAGGGGAATCGGCCTGACGACACTGGAGGCCAGGAGGGTCAGGGGAGACATGATAACGACATATAAAATACTGCGCGGAATAGACGAGGTGGACAAAGACGGGATGTTCCAGAGATGGGACACAGACACAAGTGGTCACAATTGGAAGTTGAAGACTCAGATGAATCAAAGGGATGTTAGGAAGTATTTCTTCAGTCATAGAGTAGTCAAGCCGTGGAATAGCCTAGAAAGTGAAGTAGTGGAGGCGGGAACCATACATAGTTTTAAGGCGAGGTATGATAAAGCTCATGGAGCAGGGAGAGAGAGGACCTAGTAGCAATCAGTGAAGAGGCGGGGCCAGGAGCTATGAGTCGACCCCTGCAACCACAAATAGTTGAGTACACACACACACACACACATACAATGTACATATATATATATATATAATATATATATATATATATATATATATATATATATATTATATATATATATATATATATATATATATATATATATATATATATATATATATATATATATATATTAATATATATATATCGTGCCGAATAGGCAGAACTTGCGATCTTGGCTTAAATAGCAACGCTCATCTTGCCATATTGGACAAGCGAAAATTTGTGTATGCAATAATTTCGTCAAAATCATTCTTAACCTAACGGAAAAACTATATTTCACTGTATTTGTTCAGCATTAAATTATTGTAAACAAATCTAAAATATATTTAGTTGGGTTAGGCTAAAATAAATTACTCTTGTTATAATAAGGTTAGGTAAGTTTTCTAAGATTCTTTTAATGCAAAATTATAAATTTTTACATTAACATTAATGAAAAAAATATATCTTTAAACGTATAAGAGAAAATTTTAGAAAGGACTTAATTTTAAATGAGTTCTTGCTAATTGACCAATTTTACATATTCGGCACGACATATATATATATATATATATATATATATATATATATTATATATATATATATATATATATATATATATATATATATATATATATATATTATATATATATATATATATATATAATGCATGATATATTATATAATATAAAACATAGTGAAAAAAAAATATAATGAAAATTTCTCTCTTCTCTCACAAGCTTCTTGAATATCTTAATAGTAAAGTTGTCTTTACAAATAACAAATCAATTAAAAAATCTGCCAAGGACTCTTTGGTGTGTATATACTCCATCCCTTGTAAAAGTTGTGACAACTTTTATTTAGGACAAACTGGTAAGTGTCTTGAACCCAGAGTTAAGCGACATTAACATGCAATAACAATCGGACAAGAATCCAGTACTTTGTTTTATTCATATGAGGGATAAAAACCATTGTGAATCTTAGAATAATGCTAAAGAATTACTTCCATGTAATTTTAGTTCAACGAAATGTTGTGGAACCATGATGCACAACATGTTTCAAATTTGAGTTCTGGCATCTATAACCTTGACAGTTTTATAGTCCAGAATATTGTTCATAAACATAAAGGTAAAAAATATTGTTCACAAAAACACAGAATGTGTTTTTTGTCAAAAGAACAATTTGTCTTGAATTTTGGAGGATTTTGAAGTCAGTCGTGGAGTGTACCGGTGAGCCAACCACAGTGCTCGTTCATTCTTTTTTTTTTTTTTTTTTGAGTTGATGGCTTGAACTTTTTTAAACTGAATTGCCTTTACACTTTTTCTTTCTTCTTGGCTCAATATAATTTAAATTTGTTTAGTGGTTTGACTTATTTGCAAATGACCCTTTATTAAAAAAGTTTAATTATTGTTTATTATTGAAACCGAGCCAGTAGGCCTCCCACAGTGTAATCTAAGGTATCACCTCAGTGTTTAACGTATAAAATGTGCTTCTATTGCCTCTTCTTCCTATCCCTCTATATATATATATATATATATATATTATATATATATATATATATATATATATATATAAATATATATATATATATATATATATATATATATATATAATATATATATTATATATATATATATTATATATATATATATATATAAATTAATTATAAGAGAAGTGTGGGACAAGAGTGTACATTGGTATGTACAAGCCAGCTACACCTTCCACAACACTGAGTATGAAGCGAGAAAAATGGGTATTTAGTACATCACGTTTTCACACGTACACAGAATTTTGTGTACATCGTGGTGGTATACGCATCAGTATTCTGTGTGTGTGTGTGTGTGTGTGTGTGTGTGTGTGTGTGTGTGTGTGTGTGTGTGTGTGTGTGTGTGCACGCGCGTTAGTAGTGGTGCTAGCAACAAAATACTTATTACTATTATTATTACAAACTGCAACATCAGCCGCAGCCGCTGTGACTACTACACAGAAGGGACAGGAGCTCGAGCTATGACGCTTGTGTTATTGTTGATGGGGTAATGTATCTGGCATTTTAGAATGCTGTACTCAACTATGCAGTTGGTGGTGCCTGCAGACACTACCTAAATAAACCAGGCTTGTACCTTGCTTCTGTTATCAACACAGTATTCACACACAAAATGATTCCAACAAAACTCGTAAATATTTAAAACTGACTATAATTTCAAATCAGATAAATATACCAGTATATTATTTCCCTTCCAAGTAGCGGCTATAATACCAGCAGCACGACTCACAACCCAAAAATTACAAATAAAAACTCCACATTTCGGGCCGTGCGTCATTATCGTGGTGCGAGGGGGAAAAGAGGAGAGAGCCAAGGTCAGATCAAGGCACTAGAGAGGTCACCAGACACACAAGGTCAACTCACTTGAAAATATTTCACTGTAATTATTAAATCGCAGGAAAACCCAAGAAAGACAAGCCGTGTGGCTTATTTCCATTGACCTAAAACGCTTTCATGATAGTTGTGACAGAACCCACAGGCATAACACCAGACGCAAACATCTCTACGACATTCCCCGTGTCCGACTAAACCTTCACAAAAATTCAATGTATGTCAAAGGCCCTAAAATCTGGAACACCCTACCTGAGAACTCTAGAACTGCAGACACATTCATCACCATCAAAACTACCATTAGAAAACATCTTATCTCCCTGATACACCCCATCAACTAACTACACGAATACCACCTGGTGGTTCACACTTACACTCACTCACCCATTTGACCATAAACAGAAATATTAATCTCAATCTTAAAATAATGAATCCTATGATACTCCAATACTGAAACTATATACTGTGCCAAAACAAAAGCATTCACATTGCTAAACTCACAAACTAGTATTTAGTCACTTAGCCATAATACCAACTTACCTCATAATTTGTAATATTTTAAAATAAAGAATTAAACTAAGTCTGCCCGAAATGCCTAGCCATGCTAGGCGTTCTAGTGGTACACTCTGTAATCATTATTTAACTACATGTAAACCACACAACAACCAAATTCTGTAAATTCAACATTGTAATCTTCATAGAGAATAAACTTTGAATTTGAATTTGAATTTGATGTCCTTCGATCGTCTTGACAAGGGTGCCACAACCATCGAATACGTACTTACCAAGTTAATTTTCTAACGATGCTGCCAGAGTCGATTTCTCGACTCCAACGTAACTCAAAATATAATTTTTCTTAATTTTATATAATGTTAAGTGAAGTAAGTTTAGGTTATTTTTATTGAGTTAGGTTACGTTAGGTTAGGTTAGGTTAGGTTGGGTTGGGTTGGGTTGGGTTGGGTTGGGTTGGGTTGGGTTGGGTTGGGTTGGGTTGGGTTGGGTTGGGTTGGGTTGGGTTAGGTTAGGTTAGGTTAGGTTGGGTTACGGTAAAATAGGTAAGGCTGGGTTACTTTGTATTATATATACTCATCAAACACATAAATTTAACTAAAGATAAAGAGATTAGAAAGACGTGGCCGCAACATGTGTTGTAACAGTTAACTCTCTAGAGGCCTCACTGGTCGTAAGAATGTTGTTAAATTGCATGAGCAGACATCAGTTGTGTGAGCAAATATCAATTGCATGAGCAGAGACATCGGTTGCATGAGCAGAGATATCAGTTGCATGAGAAGATATCTGCATGAGCAGACATCAGTTGCATGAGTAGAGACATCACTTGCATGAGTAGAGACATCAGTTGCATGAGTAGAGACATCAGTTGCATGAGTAGAGACATCAGTTGCATGAACAGAGACATCAGTTGCATGAGTAGAAACATCAGTTCCACGAACAGAGACATCAGTAGCATGAGTAGAGACATCAGTTGCATGAGCAGAGACATCAGTTGCATGAGTGGAGACATCATTTGCATGAGTAGAGACATCAGTTGCATGAGTAGAGATATCAGTTGCATGAGCAGAGACATGAGTTGCATGAGTAGAAACATCAGTTGCATGAGCAGAGACATCAGTTGCATGAGTAGAAACATCAGTTGCATGAACAAAGACATCAGTTTCATGAGTAGAGACATCAGTTGCATGAGTAGAGACATCAGTTGCATGAGCAGAGACATCAGTTGCATGAGTAGAGACATCAGTTGCATGAGCAGAGACATCAGTTGCATGAGTAGAGACATCAGTTGCATAAGTAGAGACATCAGCAGCGTGAGTAGAAACACTCACGCAGTAGCTGTTACATTTAGTTATCACAAGTGTCTCCCTCTTTTTACCCACTCCCCACAACCTATCTCTTAACCCCCGAAACACACACGAGTACACATACACTCATGAGTACACACATAAATACACATCAGGTGTGTGTGTGTGAGTGTATGGCCGAGCGTATCCCACCATCTGGTTCAGTTGTAATACTGAAACAACACAATACACTCTAGTGCTCCGGGAAGCTTCACATCTCTCTCCTAATGACAGCTGACCCGTCTTTCTACACTGTAGTAACCTTACATTGACCATAATGATTGATTTATAAGCAAGAACTTCGCAAAAAGTCATTCCCTGCCAAGAAACATCAGCAACACTCATCGGTGTTCTCAATAGGTGACTGTCTGACACAGGTAGGTTGAATTCGTGCTTATTTATCAATAAAAATAGTGATTATAATAAGAAGCAGTTACAGCGTATAGGTAATTATACGATAGTTTAGCAGCACACTGTTGGGGGGTGTCCACTATGTTAATGTCGCACACTGTGGGTGTACCTAACTGTACTAAATGTACCTCCATCTTGTCCTGGTATCTTCTCCATATACACAGCAGAGGTATATTTAATACCTCATATATATGTGGTTCCTTGAATTATCTCCCCAGAATTAAACTCTTTGTAAGGAAATGAGGCTCCTGGAAAATACTTAGAGATAAGGCTTCTTTGAAACAGCCCCAGCTTACCAAACCTTTATTCAGAGTACATAAAACTACTTTATTCAGAGTACATAAAACTACTTTATTCAGAGTACATAAAACTACCTTTTCAGAGTACATAAAACTACTTTATTCAGAGTACATAAAACTACCTTTTCAGAGTACATAAAACTACTTTATTCAGAGTACATAAAACTACCTTATTCAGAGTACATAAAACTACTTTATTCAGATTACATAAAACTACCTTATTCAGAGTACATAAAACTACTTTATTCAGTTTACATAAAACTACCTTATTCAGAGTACATAAAACTACTTTATTCAGAGTACATAAAACTACCTTATTCAGAGTACATAAAACTACTTTATTCAGATTACATAAAACTACCTTATTCTGAGTACATAAAACTACTTTATTCAGAGTACATAAAACTACCTTATTCAGAGTACATAAAACTACTTTATTCAGAGTACATAAAACTACCTTTTCAGAGTACATAAAACTACTTTATTCAGAGTACATAAAACTTTATTCAGAGTACATAAAACTACTTTATTCAGAGTACATAAAACTATATATTTAGTCATTGTTGTAAATAAGAATTAGTTTAAAATATCAGTACATTTACTTTCAGATTTGGAGATATTTCTACTACACTTAATATATACTATTTCTCATATTATGTCACAAAATATATTAGTGTAGCAAAAATTATCTACAAATTCCTGAAATATAATATTACTAAAGAATTTCTTGTCGAGTAAATAAATATGAGTATCAGTGGAAATAAAGACGTCCAGTTCCTGATCAGCCGGGCTGTGGCTCGTACGTTGGTTTGCGTGCAGCCAGCAGCAACAGCCTGGTTGATCAGGCGCTGATCCACCAGGAGGCCTGGTCACAGACCGGGCCGCGGGGGCGTTGACCCCCGAAACTCTCTCCAGGTAAACTCCAGGCAAAATATGGAAGTCCTCATCACGAAAGTAAATCTGGATATTATTTATCAGGTGTAGGAGTATTGCCAAGGACTGAACTACATGTGACTATGTCTCTCTATTGACAATAATAAGGCATGAGACCTTAAAAAATCTATTTAAGCTTTTTAAATATATTTATAATCAAGCTCAATAACACATAATTAATAATATAACCAATCATAACATAGCAATGGTAAGGTCTAAACTACAGATTATATTTTCCTCTATTATTATGCTTTTCGGTTTTTGTTACTATCTAAACAATTACATAAGCAAATTAAAAAAAAGGTGATTTGATAAATATTTCTTTTCGAATGTTAGATCTGTGACATCAGCTGCCGCCATGAAGCCAGGAAATCATCCTCTCCCAATACTCCTGCTGGTGCTGCTTAGCGCCCACTTAAGCGTCACCTGGAGGGCAAGAAGACACCAAACTGAAATAAATTATCTTGGAAATGGAAGAGGAGGCGTTGAGAGAGAAGAGAACAAGAGAAGCGGAAGATATGGAGACTCGGGCAGCGATCAACCGCAGCTCGACGGACACAGATTCGGAAAGTGGGAAGCTGGTAGAATAAAATTAGAGAAAGATACATGGAAAAATGCTGGGGATACCAAGCCTAGAAATCTGGACAAGAGAGAACACGATAAAGCACGAAAAGGGATAACAAAACCAAAGCAAAAGACCAAGAAGATATACAAGACAGCTGCTAGGAACTCTGTTAAAAGAGCACAGCAAAAGAGAACAGAAAAGCGAGGGAAAACATCGAAAAGGAAGAAGAATGCCTTAACTAAAAAAATGGAAGATGATCAGATAATAGAGAAAGAGAAGAAAACTCAGCTGAGGAACACCGGGCTGAAAACGAAACAATCTAAGAAATACAGAATGATAAACAGTCACGTTAATAAAGATGTAAACAATGTAAGAAAGACTGAGAAGAAGACCGGCAAGAAAACTAGAAATTGGAAGAACGTAGAAAACAGCAAAATGGGCAGGAAAACTCGGTTAAATATAATCAGAGAAAAGAATGACAGAGAAGTTAAAATGTATAAGAAGCGAGGAAGAAAAGAGTCACCAAGACAAGAAGATAAACGTGAATTTAAGTCAATGGACAAAAGAGGACATAAAAAGAAAAGTAAGAAAATATCTGAAAATATGATAGATTCTCGGGAAAAATCGGGAAAAGGAAAAATAAAGAAAAGGCCCAGAAAAATATCCACACACGAGGTCCATCACAAGAAAATTCATTCTCAAACAATGAACAAGAACAGAAAACATAAAACGAGAAAGAACTCGGAAAAATTGATAAAACCAACGAAGAATGCCAGAGATCGTCAAAACCGAAAGATAAACCAGGAGAAAACTGCAAGAACCGGGAAAAAACATCTCAAAAAACCAAGGCTAGACAACCCAAACTTCAACTTCTCCCGTAAGTTATATAACCTTAATATATATTAATGAAGTAATTAATAAAAACTAAATATAATGCAGGGATAATTATTGATAATATTTAACTAGATGCTAGATTAATAAGAAATAATTATATGCTGTATTAGGATAATTAAAACATTCTGCTTCAAAATTTAATGAAAATATTTATTTTGAGGCAAGTTATTAAAAATTAAATTTTCACCTACGTTAATTAAAATAAAGTCATTATACAGCTGGTTTTTGTGCATTATATGGCTACCTAGATGATCACTAATATATATATATATATATATATATATATATATATATATATATATATATATATATAATATATATATATATATATATATGTATATATATATATATATATATTTATTTATTTATTTATTTATTTATTCGCCGGTACTCTCCCGACCCGGGTCTTTTCCAAGTGGTGACCCGGCCTTGGCTCCCTATCTGGGAAGTGTCTCGAGATCTAAGTCTCCCATGGGAGGAGGTACAAGTATCCCCTCATCTTTGGGACCAAGTGTCCCCAGGCCTAGCCACAGTCCCCGCCCTCACAGGGTTCGTAGGAAGAAGCTAGGCCTCTGGTCTGCCATCTGCCCCGCCCCAAAGGGCTCGTGGGGATGGCAGTCTTGTGAGCTGCAGGTGGTAGCAATCTCAGGCTTCTTAATATATATATATATATAATATATATATATATATATATATATATATATATATATATATATATTATATATATATATATATATATATATATATATATATATATATATATATATATATATATATATATATTATATATATATATATATATATATATTATATATATATATATATATATATATATATATGTATATATATATATATATATATATATATATATATATATATATATATATATATATATATATATATATATATATAAAGCCCCTGGTGGTCTTAATATGATGAATAAGACATATGCAACACTTGGAAGACATGAATTAATTTGAGGTGATCAGTCCCTCAGCCTTGATAAACCTAAGTTTCGTCAAGACTGATGGACTGAAAACTTCCCACTAAAACTGAGGGAATGATCACCTCAAACTTCTTCATGTATTTTACAGCCTCCACCATAATTCTCTGAATTGGATAATCACTGTTTGGGTGAAACGTCTCCACAAAAGTGTTTCACTAGCATCTTATTCATCTACTTGTTAGTTCTGTATGCCATTAATGTAAAATGTGCCAGTAGGCCTCCTGCAGTGCAATATTTACACCCAGGAGCGTACCGCCTCTCCACTTGCAAGATGACATACTTCGTCACAGCTGACCAGCCTTACCTGCTCACCTCAGATTCCTCCGGTGCTGCCGCCAACTGTCCCATTACCTTCAAGGTTAGTCAGGAGACCAGCTTTTCCTGCATATACTACTATTAGATTCCGCGAACTGTCCCGTCACCTTCAAAGTGAGGCACACAACCAGTCTTACATCCTCACTCATATTTTAGCGACAGATCAGGTGGCATATATTACACTGTATCCATTTCACTAATTTCTCTAATGTATTTATATTTATTTAACAGATTTTGCGATGTATGACAGATACTTGTTCTCTATATCTCCGTGTAATTGCTTTTACTGCGGGTCAGTAGTATTGATTACACTCGCATATTGATTTAAGCTAGAAAACATTAGAGTGATGATGTGTTAAGTATGAAATAAGGCGGAGTAGTTAACGGTGAGTATGGTGAAAAAACTGAAAACATTTTTAAAGCTATAACCAATCATATACACAGGGTCCTCCGGGGACAAAACTGGTCTTCTCGTGTCCGATATTCTCTCTGGGGGTCAAGGGCTGTAAAGCTGAGAAGATACAGCTTAAAGAAGTCGGCAACAAGTGAGTTTTACACTAAAGTACTTGACATTGAAGCTAACACCTTGAGTACCTTTAAAAAATAAGTTCTACAAATATGAATTTTCCTCTACTCTTAAGTTCTTATGTGTTATATATATATATATATATATATATATATATATATATTATATATATATATATATATATATATATATATATATATATATAATATATATATTGCACATATACGTCACCACATGAGAAGGGTGCAAGCTAATCGTTCTGAAACAGTTGGAAAATCAGCCAGTACATAGTTGCAATTATCATGACTGGGAGACCCAAAGTACTAGCAGAAGCGGAAATTTACAATCCTCACCAATCAAGAGAAAACCTACGCTGGAGTACAATGAGAACTTTTTATTTTTTTGTACTCGTAATTTAATTTGGCTCCACGTTTTTTGGTCCCTTTATGCAGATTCCATTTTCGTCAAGCTATATACTTCTTGTTAATGTCTCACATAATAATTAGATCATATATTATTGCATAACAGTACAACAGTATCAAATCTAATGACCCTGTAAGACTTTAACCACAGATAGACAGATTGGCAAGAATGGGATCTGCGTAAGGGCACCAAAAACTTGGGGTCATATAAATGGAAGTGGTGCTTAAGATATGTTTCAGCGTGTCATGGGCACTATAAACCTGTTCTTTACTTTGACTACATAGGAGAGATACAATAAAAACACTTGCAAATGTAAGTCGTTGCGTGTTTGCTCTGGCCTAAACTGGATAATAATAATAATAATAATAATAATAATAATAATAATAATAATAATAATAATAATAATAATAATAATAATATCTTTATTTACTACAAGTACATGTACAAGGTATACAGTCCTAGCTGACAACAATGACATACTATTATATAGAAACTCCCTTGTTATGCTCCGCATTTCGGGCAAATTAGGTCAGTGTCCCAGGATGCGACCCACACCAGTCGACTAACACCCAGGTACCCATTTTACTGATGGGGAACATAGACAACAGGTGGAAAGAAACAAATCCAATGTTTCTACTCTGGCTGGGAATCGAACCCAGGCCCTCGCCGTGTGAAGCGAGAGCGTTAGCCACCAGGCCACCAGAGCCCATAAGGCTCATAATTCACAACTAATCCAGATTACGGAGAGGAAGCCTGTAACTATATTTCAGCTTATTTTGGACCTTTATAGAAAATCTAAAATGCACTCGTTTTTTTGATATTGGTATTAGACGGACCGAGGTGTCATTAGGTTTTCTCTCCAAACTATAGGTTAGTTATGAATTTTCTGTTCAGTGTATTGTGACTTTAATTGTGCAATCAGACTTCTACCCTCCCTTCCCTGTCCAGGTGGACGTTCTGCCAAAGGGACCGAGTGTTGGTGGAGAGCTTTACTGACACCCTAAGCTTCAAACATCGCAGGAGGAGACTCAGGAAACAGGATTGCCCGGGCGTCTTCGTCTGTGAAGTGTCTCAGCACAGGGACGCAGGTGAGTTTCTCATGAATAAGGGGCAACTCATTTTCATAAGAGATTATCTGCACTGTATTGCAATTCAAGGCCGTCGATAAAGCAACTTTGTCAATGCTAGAAGGTTGGATTTCTTCAAGAGTTATTCCATGTTATAGCTATTACAATAGATGTTCAAACTATCCACTATATAACACAGGCAGTCCTATTGTGTTTTCCTACCTGCTGTTACAAACGAAAGAATTTACCCCCCATAGTTAGACATTTTTATATTTATTTGTTGTATTCTTCGAGAATTTACCAATTTTCGTATATTTACATTAACCTAGTCTAATCATCTAACCAAAAGTAACCGGGCTGCGAATACTAACTGGAGGGTCAAGCCTCCACCTCCATGCGCTGAATAGTCCATACAGGTTTAACGTTTCATGAAATACAGTAACCTAAAATATCGTAAGGAGAAAAGTCAGGTTAAACCCATTGTATAGGAAAAAAAAAGTGTTGTGTCTCAGTCGTGTGGGAGGAAAGGGAAGCTGGTTTGTGTTGTGTATTGATATTGATATTAATGTTATCAATGTTATTATTCTTAGTTTAGGAGCTTGGTTAGTTTTCTGGGGGTAGATTGGTGTTTACCTGGAGTTTACCTGGAGAGAGTTCCGGGGGTCAACGCCCCCGCGGCCCGATCTGTGACCAGGCCTCCTGGTGGATCAGAGCCTGATCAACCAGGCTGTTACTGCTGGCTGCACGCAAACCAACGTACGAGCCACAGCCCGGCTGATCAGGAACCGACTTTAGGTGCTTGTCCAGTGCCAGCTTGAAAACTGCCAGGGGTCTGTTGGTAATTCCCCTTATGTATGCTGGGAGACAGTTGAACAGTCTCGGGCCCCTGACACTTATTGTATGGTCTCTTAACGTGCTAGTGACACCCCTGCTTTTCATTGGGGGGATGTTGCATCGTCTGCCAAGTCTTTTGCTTTCGTAGTGAGTGATTTTCGTGTGCAAGTTCGGTACTAGTCCCTCTAGGATTTTCCAGGTGTATATAATCATGTATCTCTCCCGCCTGCGTTCCAGGGAATACAGGTTCAGGAACCTCAAGCACTCCCAGTAATTGAGGTGTTTTATCTCCGTTATGCGCGCCGTGAAGGTTCTCCGTACATTTTCTAGGTCAGCAATTTCACCTGCCTTGAAAGGTGCTGTTAGAGTGCAGCAATATTCCAGCCTAGATAGAACAAGTGACCTGAAGAGTGTCATCATGGGCTGGCCTCCCTAGTTTTGAAGGTTCTCATTATCCATCCTGTCATTTTTCTAGCAGATGCGATCGATACAATGTTATGGTCCTTGAAGGTGAGATCCTCCGACATGATCACTCCCAGGTCTTTGACGTTGGTGTTTCGCTCTATTTTGTGGCCAGAATTTGTTTTGTACTCTGATGAAGATTTAATTTCCTCGTGTTTACCATATCTGAGTAAACTTATCTGTGTAAACTTATCTACTTATCTAGGGTAGGTAAGTTATTACCTGACTGTAGCCTTCGTGGTGTCTCATCTTCAGTGTTAAATTTGTCATATATTTTCTGGCATTGTATATGTAACCGTTAAGGGTCATCTAGCTCCTCTTGATTCACATTTACAATGTTGTATCGCTCTCTTTGTGAAGACAAATTTTCTAATATTCCTTCGACACTAATTTCGTGTATGTATTAGTGGCCTTTGTTATGTGTTGATGGTGTTAGGAAATACATTTAATCTAGTCTCTAGTATTTTTTCATGATCATGTATTGTGCTATTATTTCTCTTCTTTTATGATATTTTCTCGTAGTAATCATAACTCCTTTGTTACGAACTTGCATGTGATTACCAAGGCTTGTTTCATGATCCTTCTTGTAGTTATGTCTATTCTTTAAAGAGCTTATATGTTACTATCATGTCTCTCTTTTAATGACTTTTTTTGCATAGCTGTCATATTTACTCTTTCAGTATGTGTCAACAGTGACCTTTTTAGTTTTTTAGACACATTAAGGCGTGGATAACATAAACACTTATTAGGATCGTACTCTCTTTATTCTCTGTCAACCTCGTTTAATAACCTAGACAGAGACTAAATAAAAGGTTTCTCTCAGGAAAAGAAATGCGCTCAGGAAATCGAATGTTTCCATAAACATAACTTGAAATACTGACTGGGACTTCATCTCAATAATAAGAGAACGATGTGATGTATCATGACTACTTCACCAGATATTCTTATTTTTTTCGTATTCTTTGAGTTATTATTCTTAAGACAGGGAGAGAGGGGATAACACCACTAGGTCTGTACTGAACAAATTGGACTGATGTGTGGTGAAGGTCGTCGGAGAGGTGGCAGGAACAGTATGTAATATTACATCAGTTGTCTCTCATAGACACCACCATAACCTTTCATTGCCTGGAGTAATAAGCAATTTATATTCGCAAATATTTTCCCATTTTCCTAACATTTTAACTGATGATGTAGAGGATGTGAAAACAAGTGTGTGTACTCTCCCTGCTCCATGAGCTTTATCAAACCTCGTCTTAAAACTATGTGTGGTTCCCTCCTCCACTACGTCATTTTCTAGGCTATTCCGGAACTCTCTCCAGGTAAACTGCCTAACTACTATATGTCTGAAGAAATACTTCCTAACATCCCTTTGATTCATCTGAGTCTTCAACTTCCAGTTGTGACCTCTTGTTTCTGTGTCCCGTCTCTGGAACATCTCGTCTTTGTCCACCTTGTCCATTCCGCGCAGTATTTTATATGTCGTTATCATGTCTCACCTGACCCTCCTGTCCTCCAGTGTCGTCAGGCCGATTTCCCTCAACCTTTCTTCGTAGAACAATCCCCTTAGCTCTGGGACTAGTCTTGTTGCAGATCTTTGCACTTTCTCTAATTTCTTGACGTGCTTGACCAGGTGTGGATTCCAAACTGGTGCTGCATACTCCAGTATGGGCCTGACATAAATGGTGTCCAGAGTCTTGAACGATTCCTTACTGAGGTATCTGAAAGCTATCTTTAGGTTTGCCAGACGCCCGTACGCTGTGTGTGTGTGTGTGTGTGTGTGTGTGTGTGTGTGTGTGTGTGTGTGTGTGTGTGTGTTGTGTGTGTGTGTGTGTGTGTGTGTGTGTGTGTGTGTGACTGTGTGTGTGTGTGACTGTGTACTACTCACCTAGTTGAGGTTGCGGGGGTCGAGTCCGAGCTCCTGGCCCCGCCTCTTCACTGATCGCTACTAGGTCACTCTCCCTGAGCCGTGAGCTTTATCATACCTCTGCTTAAAGCTATGTATGGATCCTGCCTCCACTACATCGCTTCCCAAACTATTCCACTTACTGACTACTCTGTGGCTGAAGAAATACTTCCTAACCCTCCCTGTGATTCATCTGTGTCTTCAGCTTCCAACTGTGTCCCCTTGTTACTGTGTCCAATCTCTGGAACATCCTGTCTTTGTCCACCTTGTCAATTCCTCTCAGTATTTTGTATGTCGTTATCATGTCCCCCCTATATCTCCTGTCCTCCAGTGTCGTCAGGTTGATTTCCCTTAACCTCTCCTCGTAGGACATACCTCTTAGCTCTGGGACTAGTCTTGCTGCAAACCTTTGCACTTTCTCTAGTTTCTTTACGTGCTTGGCTAGGTGTGGGTTCCAAACTGGTGCCGCATACTCCAATATGGGCCTAACGTACACGGTGTACAGGGTCCTGAATGATTCGTGTGTGTGTGACTGTGTGTGTGTGACTGTGTGTGTGTGTGTGTGACTGTGTGTGTGTGTGTGTGACTGTGTGTGTGTGTGTGTGTGTGTGACTGTGTGTGTGTGTGACTGTGTGTGTGTGTGACTGTGTGTGTGTGTGTGTGACTGTGTGTGTGTACTCACCTAGTTGTACTCACCTAGTTGAGGTTGCGGGGGTCGAGTCCGAGCTCCTGGCCCCGCCTCTTCACTGATCGCTACTAGGTCACTCTCCCTGAGCCGTGAGCTTTATCATACCTCTGCTTAAAGCTATGTATGGATCCTGCCTCCACTACATCGCTTCCCAAACTATTCCACTTACTGACTACTCTGTGGCTGAAGAAATACTTCCTAACATCCCTGTGATTCATCTGTGTCTTCAGCTTCCAACTGTGTCCCCTTGTTACTGTGTCCAATCTCTGGAACATCCTGTCTTTGTCCACCTTGTCAATTCCTCTCAGTATTTTGTATGTCGTTATCATGTCCCCCCTATCACTCCTGTCCTCCAGTGTCGTCAGGTTGATTTCCCTTAACCTCTCCTCGTAGGACATACCTCTTAGCTCTGGGACTAGTCTTGTTGCAAACCTTTGCACTTTCTCTAGTTTCTTCACGTGCTTGGCTAGGTGTGGGTTCCAAACTGGTGCCGCATACTCCAATATGGGCCTAACATACACGGTGTACAGGGTCCTGAATGATCCTTATTAAGATGTCGGAATGCTGTTCTGAGGTTTGCTAGGCGCCCATATGCTGCAGCAGTTATTTGGTTGATGTGCGCTTCAGGAGATGTGCCTGGTGTTATACTCACCCCAAGATCTTTTTCCTTGAGTGAGGTTTGTAGTCCTCTGACCCCCTAGACTGTACTCCGTCTGCGGCCTTCTTTGCCCTTCCCCAATCTTCATGACTTTGCACTTGGTGGGATTGAACTCCAGGAGCCAATTGCTGGACCAGGTCTGCAGCCTGTCCAGATCCCTTTGTAGTTCTGCCTGGTCTTCGATCGAGTGTATTCTTCTCATCAACTTCACGTCATCTGCAAACAGGGACACCTCAGAGTCTATTCCTTCCGTCATGTCGTTCACAAATACCAGAAACAGCACTGGTCCTAGGACTGACCCCTGCGGGACCCCGCTGGTCACAGGTGCCCACTCTGACACCTCGCCACGTACCATGACTCGCTGCTGTCTTCCTGACAAGTATTCCCTGATCCATTGTAGTGCCTTCCCTGTTATCCCTGCTTGGTCCTCCAGTTTTTGCACCAATCTCTTGTGTGGAACTGTGTCAAACGCCTTCTTGCAGTCCAAGAAAATGCAATCCACCCACCCCTCTCTCTCTTGTCTTACTGCTGTCACCATGTCATAGAACTCCAGTAGGTTTGTGTGTGTGACTGTGTGTGTGTGTGTGACTGTGTGTGTGTGTGTGACTGTGTGTGTGTGAGTGTTGATGCAGGAAAGAGCTGACATAATACCATCTCTGGAGACCTGTCGAGTGATAAACAACATATTTTGAAAAATGATCTGATCGTTGTACAGAAAGCTGTTAAAAATTGGGAAGGCGGGTTAGCAGCCAAGAATCTAGTCATTGTATAAGCAAGTGTCATTAGTTAATAGTTACAGTTATAGACCCCTGGCTGTCTTCAAGAAGGCGCTAGACAGGCACCTAAAGTCAGTACCTGACCAGGCGAGCTGTGGCTCGTACGGCGGGTTGCGTGTGGCTAACAGCAACAGCCTGGTTGATCATGCCCTGATCCACCATGACGCCTGGTCACAGACCGGGCCGCGGGGGCGTTGACCCCCAAAATCCTCTCTAGGTAGTAATCGGGGAAAGAGTCATGCGTTTTTGGGCAGTTATTCGAAATTATATTATGAAAGGATCGTCATATATATATATATATATATATATATATATATATATATATATATATATATATATATATATAATATATATTATATTATATATGTATATATATATATATATATATATATATATAATATATACACACACTTGTTCTATCTAGGCTGAATATTGCTGCACTCTAACAGCACCTTTCAAGGCAGGTGAAATTGCCGCCTAGAAAATGTACAGAGAACCTTCACGGCGCGCATAACGGAGATAAAACACCTCAATTACTGGGAGTGCTTGAGGTTCCTAAAACTGTATTCCCTGGAACGCAGGAGGGAGAGATACATGATTATATACACCTGGAAAATCCTAGAGGGACTAGTACCGAACTTGCACACGAAAATCACTCACTACGAAAGCAAAAGACTTGGCAGACGATGCACCATCCCCCCAATGAAAAGCAGGGGTGTCACTAGCACGTTAAGAGACCATACAATAAGTGTCAGGGGCCCGAGACTGTTCAACTGCCTCCCAGCACACATAAGGGGGATTACCAACAGACCCCTGGCAGTCTTCAAGCTGGCACTGGACAAGCACCTAAAGTCAGTTCCTGATCAGCCGGGCTGTGGCTCGTACGTTGGTTTGCGTGCAGCCAGCAGCAGCAGCCTGGTTGATCAGGCGCTGATCCACCAGGAGGCCTGGTCACAGACCGGGCCGCGGGGGCGTTGACCCCCGAAACTCTCTCCAGGTACTCCAGGTACACACACACGCACCAATAGCCTGGTGGATCAGCGACTGGGCATCAGTTAGCAGATGGAGGATCAAGCCTCATCCACTTTACTCTGAATGACTCGCACGAGTTTAGCGCTTCACGAATTGCAAACACCACTTCTCTCAACGTTATTATGTCTTGTTTTTCAGATAAACCTTGAGCCACGGAGCACCTTTCATGTGTGTGTGTGTGTGTGTGTGTGTGTGTGTGTGTGTGTGTGTGTGTGTGTGTGTGTGTGTGTGTGTGTGTGTGTGTGTGTGTGTGTGTGTTTGTGTGTGTGTGTGTACTCACCTAATTGTACTCACCTAATTGTGGTTGCAGGGGTCGAGACTTAGCTCCTGGCCCTGCCTCTTCACTGATCGCTACTAGGTCCTCTCCCTCTATGCTTCCTGAGCTTTGTCATACCTCTTCTTAAAACTATGTATGGTTCCTGCCTCCACTACGTCACTTGCTAGGCTATTCCACTTCCTGACGACTCTATGACTGAAGAAATACTTCCTAACGTCCCTGTGACTCGTCTGAGTCTTCAGCTTCCGGTTGTTACCCCTTGTTTCTGTGTCCCCTCTCTGCAACATCCTATCTCTGTCCACCTTGTCTATTCCCCGCAATATCTTGTATGTCGTTATCATGTCTCCCCTGACCCTTCTGTCCTCCATTGTCGTCAGTCCGATTTCCCTCAACCTTTCCTCATACGACATTCCCCTGAGCTCTGGGACTAGCCTTGTTGCAAACCTTTGTACTTTCTCTAACTTCTTGACGTGCTTGACCAGGTGTGGGTTCCAGACTGAAGCTGCATACTCCAGTATGGGCCTAACAAACACAGTGTACAGCGTCTTGAACGATTCCTTATTAAGGTATCGGAACGCTATTCTCAGGATTGCCAGGCGCCCGTATGCTGCAGCAGTTATTTGGTTGATGTGTGCCTCCGGTGACGTGCTCGGTGCTATGGTCACCCCAAGGTCTTTCTCCCTGAGTGAGGTCTGTGCTCACCTATTTGTACTCACCTATTTGTGGTTGCAGGGGTCGAGTCCTAGCTCCTGGCCCCGCCTCTTCACCGGTTGCTACTAGGCCCTCTCTCTCCCCGCTCCATGAGTTTTATCAAACCTCGTCTTAAAACTGTGTATGGTTCCTGCCTCCACTACGTCATTTTCTAGGCTATTCCACTGCCTTACAACTCTATGACTGAAGAAATACTTCCTACTATCTCTCTGACTCATTTGTGTCTTCAACTTCCAATTGTGGCCTCTTGTTTCTGTGTCCCCTCCCTGGAACATCCTGTCCTTGTCCACCTTGTCTATTCCACGCAGTATTTTATATGTCGTTGTCATGTCTCCCCTGACCCTCCTGTCCTCCAGTGTCGTCAGGCCGATTTCCCTTAATCTTTCTTCATAGGACATTCCCCTTAGCTCTGGAACTAACCTTGTCGCAAACTTTGCACTTTCTCTAGTTTCTTTCGTGTTTGGCTAGGTGTGGGTTCCAAACTGGTGCCGCATACTCCAATATGGGCCTATTAAGATGGCGGAATGCTGTTCTTAGTTTTGCTAGGCGTCCATATGCTGCAGCAGTTATTTGGCTAATGTGCGGCCTCAGGTGATTGTGCTTGGTTGTTAAGCTCACCCCAAATTCTTTTTACTTGAGTGTGAGGTTGTAGTCTCTGGCCAGCTAGACTGTACTCTATCTTCGGTCTTCTTTGCTCTTCCCCAATCTTCATGACTTTGCACTTGGTGGGGTTGAACTCCAGGAGCCAATTTCTGGATCAGGCCTGCAGCCTGTCCAGATCCCTTTGTAGTTCTGCCTGTCTCGTCGATTGAATTTCTTCTCATCAAACTTACATCATCTGCAAAACAGGGAATTTCGGAGTCTATTTCTTCGTCATGTCGTTCACAAATACTAGAAACGCACCGGTCTAGGTCTGGACACCTTGTTGGAACCTCACTCGTCCACAGGCGCCCAACTCTGACACCTCGCCACGTACCATGACTCGCTGTTGTCTTCCTGACAAGTATTCCCTGATCCATTGTTGTGCCCTCCCTGTTATCCCTGCTTGGTCCTCCAGTTTTTTGCACTAATCTCTTGTGTGGAACTGTGTCAAACGCCTTCTTACAGTCCAAGAAAATGCAGTCTACCCACCCCTCTCTCTCTCTCTCTTGTCTTACTGCTGTCACCCTGTCATAGAACTCCAGTAGTTGTGACACAGGATTTCCCATCCCTGGAACCATATTGGCTGTTGGTGATAAGCTCATTCCTTTCTAGGTGTTCCACCACTCTTCTCCTGATAATCTTCTCCGTGACTTTGCATACTATACATGTCAGTAACACTGGTCTGTAGTTTAGTGCTTCATGTCTGTCTCCTTTTTTAAAAATTGGGACTTCATTTGCTGTCTTCCATACCTCAGGTAATCTCCCCGTTTTTGATAGATGGTTTGAATATTGTTGTTAGGGGCACACATAGCACCTCTGCTCCCTCTCTCAGGACCCACGGAGAGATGTTATCCGGCCCCATCGCCTTTGAGGTATCTCGCTCACTCAGCAGCCTCTGTGTGTGTGTGTGTGCGTGCGTGTGTGTGTACTCACCTAGTTGAGGTTGCAGGGGTCGAGTCCAAGCTCCTGGCGCGCGTGTGTGCTAGTGTGTGTGTGTGTGTGTGTGTGTGTGTGTGTGTGTGTGTGTGTGTGTGTGTGTGTGTGTGTGTTGTGTGTGTGTGTGTGTGTGTGTGTGTGACTATCACTACAGTGTTGTGAGTGTGCTCTTACTGCCTGCAGGGCGCCTCACAACTCTGGTTCCTGGACTCACTCACCCTGCCTCACCTATCACGATCTTCGGTGATGATAATGTCCTAGACATTACAACAACTCCTGAGACGACTAGCGTGATGCTTAATACCACAACCATCACTACTACTACGACTACCACCAACACAACTAGCATCAGCACCACCACTCCAGCTCCTAACACCACAACAACGAGCAGTGTTAGCAACACCACAAGCACTACTACCAGCACCTCGACCACAACCTCTACCACCATGAAAGGTACTAACACTACAACCACCACCACTACCAACACCTCAACCACCCCCTCAACTACCACGACGACAAGTTCTACCACTAGCACAACGAGTTCGACCACTACTATCAAATCAACCACTACCACACCAAATTCTACCACCACCAGCACCTCAACCACCACAACAACAAGTCCTACTACTACCAGTACTTCAACCACCACCACAGAAAGTTCTACTACTACTACCAGTACTTCAACCACCACCACAGAAAGTTCTACTACTACTACCAGTACTTCAACCACCACCACAGAAAGTTCTACTACTACTACCAGTACTTCAACCACCACAACAACTCCTATTACTACCAGTACTTCAACCACCACAACAAGTCCTACTACCTCAAGCACCACCACTACCACCACCACGAAAGGTATGACCACCACAACCACTACCACCACTACTACGACAACCACTCCTACCACCACTACTACCACAACCACTCCTAGCACCACTACTACCACGACCACTCCTACCACGACCACAACCACCCAGATCGTCACCACTACCACGACCACAACGGCAGATCCTGAGACTACCGCGACAACGACTGGTACGACTAACGACTTTTCCCTGTACTAATTCTTTATATTTGGACACAGTTCTGATTTTGACACAATTCTTTTTGTTTTGACACAATCTGGTTTTGACAGAATTCTGTTTTTGACACAGCTTTTCTGGTTTTGACACAGTTTTTCTGGTTTTGACACAGTTTTCTGGTTTTGACACAGTTTTCTGGTTTTGACACAGTTTTTCTGGTTTTGACACAGTTTTTCTGGTTTTGACACAGTTTTCTGGTTTTGACACAGTTTTCTGGTTTTGACACAGTTTTCTGGTTTTGACACAGTTTTCTGGTTTTGACACAGTTTTCTGGTTTTTGACACAGTTTTCTGGTTTTGGACACAGTTTTCTGGTTTTGACACAGTTTTCTGGTTTTGACACAGTTTTCTGGTTTTGACACAGTTTTCTGGTTTTGACACAGTTTTCTGGTTTTGACACAGTTTTCTGGTTTTGACACATTTTTTCTGGTTTTAAACAGTTCTTGCCAAATATTATTATATCCCAACAGCACATTTCCAAACCTGGCTCTGTCTAAGGTCTACTACCATCGTCCAGGATACCACTAACACTCCCAGGATTCCCTCGTGACCTCGTGCTGCACTCTAACAGCACCTTTCAAGGCAGGTGAAATTGCCGACCTAGAAAATGTACAGAGAACTTTCACGGCGCGCATAACGGAGATAAAACACCTCAATTACTGGGAGCGCTTGAGGTTTCTAAACCTGTATTCCCTGGAACGCAGGAGGGAGAGATACATGATTATATACACCTGGAAAATCCTAGAGGGACTAGTACCGAACTTGCACACGAAAATCACTCACTACGAAAGCAAAAGACTTGGCAGACGATGCACCATCCCCCCAATGAAAAGCAGGGGTGTCACTAGCACGTTAAGAGACCATACAATAAGTGTCAGGGGCCCGAGACTGTTCAACTGCCTCCCAGCACACATAAGGGGGATTACCAACAGACCCCTGGCAGTCTTCAAGCTGGCACTGGACAAGCACCTAAAGTCAGTTCCTGATCAGCCGGGCTGTGGCTCGTACGTTGGTTTGCGTGCAGCCAGCAGCAACAGCCTGGTTGATCAGGCGCTGATCCACCAGGAGGCCTGGTCACAGACCGGGCCGCGGGGGCGTTGACCCCCGAAACTCTCTCCAGGTACTCCAGGTACTAGGTCAACCAGGCTGTTGGTTCTAGCGGCCTGCAAGCCCACTTACTACAACCCGGCTGAGCCGTAGATTGCAGATATCGGCTGTCCACTTTCCAATTTTTTTATTAGGTAATTGAAAATGTACAGTAGGTGCAAGGAGACTTGCTCACACGTATCATCCAACCCGGTAATCGAACCCAAGCTCCCGTGGCTGTGAGCATCTGAAGACTAATGTGAGATGGAATCCACAGAAGGTGTACTCTGACACCACTCTCTACAATCCTGCCTTACCTGTCTCTGGCCTCTATCACAAGCATGCTATCTTTAGTATCTCTCAAGTACAACAGACACCAGATGTTTCAAATTTTGCTCTTAAAATGATGCTACCAGCACCCAGTTTAAACCCGAATGCTAGCACTGAAACTGGTATAACACTGTTAAACTCTATAGTTGGCCCACTGGCCCATGTTGCAGGTGGTTCCACTAACTTGGTCTTCTGACCTTACGCTCTACACTCACCTGCATTTATGGATGGTATAGAATTAGTTATAATTAGCGTGCCAACCTTAGATACATGGACGCATTTAAGTGTTCGGCTTGAAGGGTAGAAGCCCACATGTTGATAAGTGCTCCAGTTTCTATGTGAGAGCCATCTGTAAGACAACAGCAGATTGGTGAACAGAACCATCAACATACATAATTTGAGGAAGAGATTGCTGTGTGACTAAGACATCAATCAATCAATCAAGTCTATTCTCTATAAGGATTACAACGTGGGGTTTACAGGATTTGGATATTGTGTAGTTTACATGTTATAAAATACTAATTACAGAGGGGGCCACTAGGACACCTATCATGGCTAGCCATTTCGGGCAGACTTAGATTAATTCTTAACATTAAATCCTTACAGATTATGGTATTAAGGCTAGGTGACTACATCATAATTTGTGAGTTTAGCAATGTGAATGCTTTTGTTTTAGCACAATACAAAGTGTCTATACTGGAGTATCATAGGCAAACTTATGACTAGTTAGGATTCATTATTTTAAGATTAAGATTAGTATTTCTGTGTTTATAGTCAGTGGGTGAGTTAGTTTAATATATTTATTATGCACCCCATACCCATCCTGTGGGCGGTAGTCAAAAGATTACAGAGGTACATAATGGGTCCAGGGACTGGGCCTCAAAGTTTTGATAGCTGAGCAAGTTACAAAGGTAATGAACTCACAATTTACGGTGAGTGAGTGTAATTGTGAACCACCAGGTGGTTATCATGTAGTTAGTTGTCGGGGTGCATCAGGGAGATAAGATGTTTTCTAACTGTAGTTTTGAAAGTGATGAGTGTGTCTGCAGTTCTAGAGTTTTCAGGTAGGGTGTTCCAGATTTTAGGTACAACTTAAGGCACCTTGCTTGGCTTCAAAGAAGGCTGGACATCAACAACTATTCATTATGGAAAGTAGTGGTAGAATATACCGACACGACACAGGTCAAGGCATTGGCTTAAGTCGGTGGGACTAGCCTCGCATAGGCCAGTAGGCCTGTTGCAGTATTCCTTCTTTCTTATGTTCTTATAATGCGATACTTTACTGGCAACGTTTCGCCCACGCAGTGAGCCTCATTGTGACTTGATAAACATGTGTGGACGAAACTCTGTCAGTAAAGAATCGCATTATAATACACTTGTGTCTCTTTTTCCAACTTCTCATCATTTTCAACTTTAACACAGCCATGATGCTCAGCGTAGCTGCGAAACATCACTTTTCTTTCCACGTCATTATCTTTTTCCTCCATAACTGTGTGGACCTCCACAGACTGCCCTCCACTGCTACTTGACTCCACGAAGATATTTTCCACATTTGATACACACACTGCTTCCATTACTGCCATATTAAATATAGTCTAATGAATAAATATTTCATATATTTTCTTTCATCACTGCATTTATTCTATCTTATCCTAAGTCTAAACATCGGGGAAGTAAGTTTTCTGTTTACCACACTTCAAGATTGGAAAGGAGGGCCTTGATCCAAAGAACTGGAGCTGTCCCCGTCTTCATTGTAACTCATATATGTTTAGCGTTTCCCAAAGATTATAATAATCTCTCCTAAAAGAAACAGTGGTTCGGTTTCGCTAGTGCGTCGGTTTCAGCCGTTCCAGCGAACCCGTCCCTTTCGGGCAGTTGACCGGATCCAGGACACCCTCTGTCTGGTTGATCTTTTGCTCACAGGATGAGCATAAGGCGCACAATAAACTAACCTTTCAGGCGGCACAGCAAAAAAAAAAAAAGTGGTTCTAGTCCACAACTTTACAGACTACGGTAATTAATCAAATGATCTGTTACAGAACAGCGCCCACCAGTCGGAGGACCTGATACCGATCCTGAAGGTACTGGAATACCAGCGCCAACTGGAGTACCAGCACCGATTGGAGGAGCAGCGCCGATTGTAATACCAGCGCCGATTGGAGTACCAGTACCGATTGGAGTACCAGCGCCGATTGGAGTACCAGCGCCGATTGGAGGACCATCGCCGATTGTAATCCCAGCGCCAGTTGGAGTACCAGTACCGATTGGAGTACCAACACCGATAAGACCACCTAAACCTACCGGAATGCCTGCAACAGTTAAACCACCTGCGGTAATTGGAGGATCCGGTCCGATTGAGGTACCAGCTCCGATTGCACCACCTAAACCAATTGGGCCACCTGAACCTATAGGACATTAAGCATGACCTACCATGTACCAGTTAAACCACCTGCGCCAATTAAACCACCTGCGCCAATTGGCAGTCCTGAACCTATTGGGGTACCAGCTCCGATTGCACCACCCAAACCAATTGGGCCCCCTGAACCAATTAAACCACCAGCGCCAATTGGCAGTCCTGAACCTATTGGGGTACCAGCTCCGATTGCACCACCCAAACCAATTGGGCCCCCTGAACCAATTAAACCACCAGCGCCAATTGGCAGCCCTGAACCTATTGGGATACCCGTTCCAATTGGGGTACCAGCTCCGATTGCCCCACCCAAACCAATTGGGCCCCCTGAACCAATTAAACCACCTGCGCCAATTGGCAGCCCTGAACCTATTGGGGTGCCCGTTCCAATTGGGGTACCAGCTCCGATTGCACCGCCTAAACCCATTGTAGGACCTGCACCTATTGGACCACCGTCTACAAGACCTCGGCTCTTCTGTAGTTAGTATACAGTTTTGTGACACCAGGTGCAGTATAGTCACTGGTTTTTCATAGCTAGTTAGCTTAATAAATTTATTATGCACCCCATACCCATCATGTGGGAGGCAGTCAAACTATTAAGAACATTATGGTAGAAACCCAGTCCACTCAATGGATCAGTGTATGTTCAAATATACACCTAGGCGAGTACAATAGGAAGTGCCTCTGCATCGCACTCAAAAGGAGGATCAAGCCTCCACCACGTCTTGCACTAAATGACCCACGTGAGTTTAGCGCTTAACATGAATTAAATTTAATAAAGGGTCTTCCTGTGAACTAAAGCGGCAATAATAAACCAAGCAATTTCTGGTTTATTATTTTGTGCTTGGGGAATCGCTAAATTCATCGAGGTCATACAACATCTAGGGTATTCAGGTTTAATTCAAGTAGGGGAAACTAATTTCTTGGATCAAGAGCCGTTGGATTAAGTTACTTCCCGTGAAAGGGAGACCTAGAGAGGGTAGTGGTTATCACCCTAACATTTCCTTGTTCAGCTTTATTTTCCACCTCCAGGACTCGAGTCCTGTAAGTGGGGAGTACAGTGTCTGCACTCTATAAGACGGGTAGAGATGTAGCAGTTCACAGGGTTATCAGAACTGTGATGTCAGCATGCTTCTGGCAAGATAATGACTGAATGAGAATCAGTGAAATTGTTTCCTGTTTTTCGGGTCACCCAGCCTCGGTGGGAAACGGCCGGTGTGATTAAAAAAAAATACATATCTTAGTTGTGTTACTATGATTAAGCTTCACTATGAGAGGGGGAAACAAATTGTATGTGTATTACTTGGTTAAGCTCTTCTTAAGTGTAGGGGACCTATTACCTCATACATGGTAGTTCTTCTCCAGATCCAATACAATATTAATGAGAAGGGTGAAGCAGGAAAAACACACACACACACACACACACACACACACACACACACACACACACAATAAAGCTTACGGTTCAGGGAGAGTGATCTAGTAGCGATCAGTGAAGAGGCGGGGCCAGGAGCTCGGACTCGACCCCCGCAACCTCAACTAGGTGAGTACAACTAGGTGAGTACACACACACACACACACACTCTCTCTCTCTCTCTCTCTCTCTCTCTCTCTCTCTCTCTCTCTCTCTCTCTCTCTCTCTCTCTCTCTCTCTCTCTCTCTCTTCTCTCTCCTCTTTCTCTCTCTCTCCTGTGAGTCCTTCATTTGAACACGTAATTAAAGCGAACATTTCATCCCTGCTGGAGTACTTCTCAGGGAGTCAGATCAGTACCTCTTCCCCTGCATGAGTATTTTATGGGGAGTCAAAGTGAACATTTCTTTCTTGCTGGAGTACTTCAGAGTCTGTCGAAACGAGCACTTCATCCCTGCTTGAGTACTTCTCAAAACGTTGAAGAACACTCTTCCTCCCTGCTGGATTTTTTTACATGGAGTTAAAGTGAGAAACTCATTTCACTCATAAACACTAGCATGCACTAACACCACAACGTGAGTGCATTAGCGTAGAAGTGAGACTAACCTGTGTGTTTGTGTGTGTGTTCTACAGGCAAGTGTTCCTCTGGTCCCATCAGTGTCACCAGAATTATCGGCGGAGAGCCAGCCAGCGTGGGCGAGCTACCCTGGCAGGTAGGCAAGTTTTTCTTAACCCAAGTTTCACTCATTCACTCGCTCTCTTTACTTCCTTACTTACTCAGTTACTCTGCACCTATTTGCGTACCTGTGCCTCTGTATCTGTACTTCATTGATTTTGTACTTGGAGCAGCTGTCTTTATTATTCGGGTCTCAAGAGCAAAACCAAGGTCGTTAAAATGAATATTAAAGGTCTCACCAAACTTCTGACCTTAATTCAAAAACAAAGACGATTGAAAACGTTACCTTAAAACTCCTCCCCTCCTTTTTTAATATCTACCCCCTCCCCAACCTTCACCTCCTCCCCATATATTTGTACGCTCGTGTGCACAAGTCCGTGCGTGCGCCCTGGTGTGTATGTGTGTGCGCGCGCGCTAGTGTGGGTGTATGAACCACTTAATATTTGTATTTATAACTCATTACAATTGTGACCAGGTGTGGACGTATCAGTGGTTCATTACTTTGTAATTTGCTCATGACTGTAACCATGTATAGGAGTGAAGCTGATTCATTACCTTTGTAACTTTCCATGATTGTGACCAGATCTACCTGGAGTTCATTACCTTTGTAACTAGTTCAGCTATCATAACTTTATCATACCTCTGCTTAAAGCTATGTATGAATCCTGCCTCCACTACATCGCTTCCCAAACTATTCCACTTACTGACTACTCTGTGGCTGAAGAAATACTTCCTAACATCCCTGTGATTCATCTGTGTCTTCAACTTCCAACTGTGTCCCCTTGTTACTGTGTCCAATCTCTGGAACATCCTGTCTTTGTCCACCTTGTCAATTCCTCTCAGTATTTTGTATGTCGTTATCATGTCCCCTCTATCTCTCCTGTCCTCCAGTGTCGTCAGGTTGATTTCCCTTAACCTCTCCTCGTAGGACATACCTCTTAGCTCTGGGACTAGTCTTGTTGCAAACCTTTGCACTTTCTCTAGTTTCTTTACGTGCTTGGCTAGGTGTGGGTTCCAAACTGGTGCCGCATACTCCAATATGGGCCTAACGTACACGGTGTACAGGGTCCTGAACGATTCCTTATTAAGATGTCGGAATGCTGTTCTGAGGTTTGCTAGGCGCCATATGCTGCAGCAGTTATTTGATTGATGTGCGCTTCAGGAGATGTGCCTGGTGTTATACTCACCCCAAGATCTTTTTCCTTGAGTGAGGTTTGTAGTCTCTGGCCCCCTAGACTGTACTCCGTCTGCGGTCTTCTTTGCCCTTCCCCAATCTTCATGACTTTGCACTTGGTGGGATTGAACTCCAGGAGCCAATTGCTGGACCAGGTCGCAGCCTGTCCAGATCCCTTTGTAGTTCTGCCTGGTCTTCGATCGAGTGAATTCTTCTCATCAACTTCACGTCATCTGCAAACAGGGACACCTCAGAGTCTATTCCTTCCGTCATGTCGTTCACAAATACCAGAAACAGCACTGGTCCTAGGACATGACCCCTGTGGGACCCCGCTGGTCACAGGTGCCCACTCTGACACCTCGCCACGTACCATGACTCGCTGCTGTCTTCCTGACAAGTATTCCGTGATCCATTGTAGTGCCTTCCCTGTTATCCCTGCTTGGTTCTCCAGTTTTTGCACCAATCTCTTGTGTGGAACTGTGTCAAAAGCCTTCTTGCAGTCCAAGAATATGCAATCCACCCACCCCTCTCTCTCTTGTCTTACTGCTGTCACCATGTCATAGAACTCCAGTAGGTTTGTAACACAGGATTTCCCGTCCCTGAAACCATGTTGGCTGCTGTTGATGAGATCATTCCTTACTAGGTGTTCCACCACTCTTCTCCTGATAATCTTCTCCATGATTTTGCATACTATACATGTCAGTGACACTGGTCTGTAGTTTAGTGCTTCATGTCTGTCTCCTTTTTTAAAGATTGGGACTACATTTGCTGTCTTCCATGCCTCAGGCAATCTCCCTGGGTGTGTGTGTGTGTGTGTGTGTGTGTGTGTGTGTGTGTGTGTGTGTGTGTGTGTGTGTGTGTGTGTGTGTGTGTGTGTGTGTGTGTGTGTGTATGTGTGTGTGTGTGTGTGTGTGTGACTCAACAATCAATATTTGCACCAATAACTCACTACAGTTTTGACCGGGTGTGGAAGTGTGAATTGCTCATTACACTATAATTTGTTCATGATTGTAGCCATGTATAAACGTAAGTAACCATTCTTACAGTATTCATTACCTTTGTAACTTGTGAACTCATTACCTTGTACCTAGTTCAGCCATCCAAACTTTGGGGCCCGGTCCCTGGATCCATTACGTACCTCTGTAATCTGTAAATACCTTTGTAACTTGTCATGATTGTGACCAAACCTACCTGGAGTTCATTACCTTTGTAAAGGCACTAAGGGCCATACAGTGTCTGGGGAGTGAAAAGAGATTAGGTTTTATCTGAGGAAGAGAAGGGTTCCTCCAATTAATTATAAAACAAAAAAAAACAGAAAGATCAAAGCATAGGCGGAATCAGGAGCTGTGAATCGACCTCTGCAACCAGAAACTGGCAAGTACAGTACCCAATTGCAAATCAGTGTTTTAAAATTGATATTTTAAAGTTAAATTATCATTTAAAATTAATGTTTTAAAAGAACAAACAGCAGAGATACCTGGAAATAATAGCATTACAGGAAAAAACATAATCGTGAGCACTAACAAATGTAATATTCCCAGCATGGTACCAAGTAACAAGGAATGGTTAGGGAAATAAAAGTAGTAAAGAATAACAATTTTGGTCAATAATACATCGAAATTCAAGAAGCTAGAACACAGACCGGTGAGACCAGAGAATTACCCGTGCATTTTACCCTCCTCGGGAATCGAAATCTCATCCTTTCAGTTGTAAGAAGAATATTCTCCTAAAGAGTACTACTAGGTGATCACACACAATAACTGGCACAACACTAAACCAGTAGTTAAGTTAGTTTAATATTTTGCACACCATACCCATCCTGTGGTCGGTAATTAAAAGATTACAGAGGCACATAATGGGTCCAGGGACTGAGCTGCAAAGTTCTGATATCTCACCAATTTTAGTGGTAATAAACTATTTACACGTATCTGATTACTATCCTCCCAACAGGTCAAACTGATGGTGGGTTACAGTGTCATGTGCGCTGGAGTCCTCATTCAGCCATCCTGGATCCTTACTGCCGGACACTGCTATCCTAATGGGTAGGTTCTCAATGTCCTTCATATTCCACGCTACTCATGCTCTCACATATCTGCAGCTGCCAACCTCACTCACTCTACGGTGCTTATGTCCGCAGGTTCCGTGAGACGGAGATCACCTTGGGTGAGCATGATCTAAATGTCCAGGAGCCAGGTACACTGGTCATCGAAGCCAAGAATGTAATCACTCACGAGAAATTCGACAGTTTTACAATGGTGAGTACCTCACTTCACACCCCATTCCTCCCCTCCATCTGATTGTGTGGAGAGAGAGAGAGAAAAAAAAAAACTATTTTCCAAACCAAGAAATATAAATAACTTGTTTTGTTGATGGTGGTACATGCGTCAGAAAAAAAGTCGTCTGTCTCAGGTTTTTGTCATAAAATGACCCCTTCAGTAGTGTTTTCTGCCAAAAGTTGTCTCGTTCAGTGGTGTTTATCAAAAGATGACCCGTTCCAAGTTGTTTTTGTCAAAAATGAACTGTTCATTAGTGTTTTTGTCATAACCCGTTCAGTGCTGTTTTTTGTCAGAAGTTGAGTAGCCGAATAGTTTTTACCAAAACAAGATACCCGTTCAGTAGTGTTTTTGTTATAAAATGACCCACTCATTGGTGTTTTTGTCATAAAATGACCCGTTCAGTACAGTCTTTATCAAAAAGATGACTCATACAGAAGTGTTTTCGTCATAAGACAACTTGCTCAGTGGTATTTTTGTAATAAGACAACCCCGTTCAGCTCTATTCCGCCAGTGTAACAAAGTATTTTACGTGCTCAGGAGAACGACATCGCCTTGGTGGAGCTGAAGAGCCCTGCCACCTTCTCCGACAGAATCTCCCCCATCTGTCTGGCCAACTCTGAAGACTTTGGCGACAGTGGTGTGGGCATCGCATCGGGCTGGGGACATACCAAGTACCGTCAGTACCTCTTTGCTATTATATAAATTAGTTTTTACCGAACACACACCATCACGCACAATGGTGCTCGAGTTATACATCCTTACATGTGATAGTTTTTTAGTAGTACTCAACCACATACGATGATTCTGAGATCGTATTTCATCACACCGGATGGTTTACTCAGGTTATATTAAACAACGCAGGTTTTCAGAATATCCTCCATCACAGAGAATGATATTCAGGTTCCACTCCATCACGCAGGGTGATTTTCAGGGCACATTATTACTCCTCTTCCCTCATCCCTGCCTGATCCAGTTCAAAATATTATTATGAGGATTAAGATTAATTGTTGATGGTATTAATAGCTTACTATGTGTAATTACATAAATATAAATGGCTGAAATTCTAGTACAATTATTGTAAAATAAAAGCAGGTAATTGAGAAAAAATATAAATTATCATTGATATGCAAACCAGTCTTAAAATAGTGCATATTATATTACACTATAATCATATTATATACTATATTACATTATATGTATGATATACATTATATAGTATATCTAGTTATGCTATGTTGATGATATACAGTCTAAGGTATCCGGAGGTGAATGTTTTTATAATTATTATGCTTTACTATCATCCCTACCACCACCATCACCACTATCACCACTACCACTATCACCACCACCACTATCACCACTACCACTATCATCACTACCACTATCACCACATACCACTATCACCACTACCACTATCACCACCACCAATATCACCACTACCACCATCACCACTACCACTATCACCACTACCACTATCACCACCACCAATATCACCACTACCACTATCACCACTACCACTATCACCACTACCACTATCACCACTACCACTACCACCACCTACCCACCACCATCACCACTACCACCACCATCACCACTACCACTATCACCACTACCACTATCACCACCACCACTATCACCACTACCACTATCACCACTACCACTATCACACACTACCACCACCATCACCACTACCACCATCACCACTACCACTATCACCACTACCACTATCACCACTGCCACTATCACCACTACCACCACCATCAACCATCTACCACCACCCATCACCACTACCACCATCACCACTACCACTATCACCACTACCACTATCACCACTGCCACTACCACCACTACCACCACCACAACCACTACCATCACCACTATCACCACTACCACTATCACCACTACACCACTATCACCACTGCCACATCACCACTACCACCACTATCACCACTACCACCACCATCACCACTACCACCACCATCACCACTACCATCACCACTATCACACCACTACCACTATCACCACTACCACTATCACCACTGCCACTATCACCACTATCACCACTACCACCCACCATCACCACTACCACCACCATCACCACTACCATCACCACTATCACCACTACCACCACCATCACCACTACCACCACCATCACCACTACCACCACCATCACCACTACTACCACCATCACCACTACCAACCACCACCACCATCACACTACCGATCACCACTATCACCACTACCACCACCATCACCACTACCACCACCATCACCACTACCATCACCAACTATCACCACTACCACCACCATCACCACTACCCACCACCATCACCACTACCACCACCATCACCACTACTACCACCATCACCACTACCACTACCACCACCATCACCACTACCATCACCACTATCACCACTAACATAAGCACCTTCCACAGAGGGAGAACGGTCGCAGGTGCTACAGAAGGTAGCACTCTCCATAATAAGCAACACAGCTTGTGACAAGTTGTACGGAGGGTTCTATGAAATCTTCGACACAATGATGTGTACATACACGGAGAACAAGGACGCCTGCCAGGTGCTCTTCTTAACGCTATAAAACTTGCTTTTATTTAATGTTCTTATAGTCAGACATGTAGTTAAGTTAGGGACCATATATAGTACCTTCATTAGCAGGCAGCATGCATGAAATATGGGGAAGGATATATAAGACAGCTTAGTTGACTCCTGGTTCGCATTCTGGGCGAGAGTGAACGATTCCGACGACAATAATAATAATAATAATAATAATAATAATAATTAATAATAATAATAATAATAATAATAATAATATCTTTATTTACTACAAGTAAATGTACAAGGTACACAGGCCTACCTGAAATCAATGACATACTACTATATAGAAAGCCCCTTGTTATGCTGAGCATTTCGGGCAAATTAGGTCAGTTTTGTCCCAGGATGCGACCCACACCAGTCCACTAACACCCAGGTACCCATTTTACTGATGGATGAACATGGACAACCGGTGTAAGAAAACACGTCCGATGTTTCCACCCCTTCGCCGGGAATCAAACCTGGACCCCTCACCGTGTGAAGTGAGAGCTTTTGCCACCAGGCCACGGGGCACCGTGGCCCAGTGATAAAGCCGGCACAGCGAACTTTATCAATTAAGATACTCAGGAACTGCACGTGTCTCATTTATCAATCTTCTTCCTCAGGGAGACAGCGGCGGACCGCTGGTGGTGCAGGCACCAGGAGGGAAGTGGGTTCTGGCGGGGCTGGTGAGTTTTGGGTACCGGTGTGCCCACAAGGACTCACCCGGCATCTTCACCAGGCTTACCAAGTACCATGAGTGGATCACCGCCAATATCTACCATGAGGACTGCTGATACTGCACCATAACTGCTGCCATGTCTGGTGGTACTGCATCATAACTGCTACCATGTATGGTGCTACAGCTACGTACCTGCTACCATATCTGGTGATACTGCTACTTAACTGCTACCATGTCCGGTGCTACTGCTACATAACTGCTATAATGTCTGGTGCTACTGTTACTATGTCTGGTGCTACTGCTACTATGTCTGGTGCTACTGCAACTTTGATGCTACTGCTATGTCTGGTGCTACTGCTACTCTGTCTGGTGCTACTGCTACATCATTGCTACTCGCAAGTTCTCTCGTTGTGTTCAACAGCATTACTACGTCTGCTGAATTAACATATCTGCCAGACATCGAGATCTTATCTTCTCACACCCGTGGAACACCTGTGTAAACACCTGTCTTTACACCTGTGGAACGCTTGTCCCTAATAATACGTACAATTGTGGAGGTGAACCTGGAGTATACCTGGTTTCCTGCAAACAATTAGGAGAACCTAGGTATAAAGTAACGTAATACAGGGCAATTCTGCGTTTTAGGCTACTTTTGCTCTCTGAATTACTTGGTTAAGCTCATTACTGAGCGAAAGGTTGTATTATTTCGTGTCTTAATAATAATAATAATAATAATAATAATAATAATAATAATAATAATAATAATAATAATAATAATAATAATAATATATTTCTACAAGTACATGATGCAACTTATACAGACTTAACTGACATCAATAACATACATATTATATAGAAAGCCCTTGTTTATGCAGAGCATTTCGGGCAACTTGGGTTAATTTTGTCCCCAGGATGCGACCCACACCAGTCGATTAACACCCGGGTACCTGCTTACTGCTAGGTGAGCTTGGACAGCAGGTGTCCTAAGGAAACACGCCCAGTGTTTCCACTCGTACCGAGGATCGGGCCGCGGCCCTCGATGTGTGAGCTGAGCGCGCTACCAACCGGTCATCAAAGAGGGCTGGGACATGCCTACCCGGGGTCAAGGCAATCATAATGATACTAGGTTAGGTAAGGTTCGTCAGGAAACAGGATCATAATGATACTCTACCTACCCGAGTTCTAAGCACTTTCTTATATTGTAATGAAGGTGATTTTTTTTTTCATAATAAAATGCATCAGAGGAATCGAACTCAAATTAAACGTCCCTTTTTTCATATACGTGGAAATACCTGGAGGGTTTCGGGGGTCAACGCCCCCGCTGCCCGGTCTGTGACCAGGCTTCATGGTGGATCAGCGCCTGATCAACAGTAACACCTTCATTACAACATAAGAAAGTGCTTAGAACTCGGGTAGGTAGAGTATCATTATGATTGCCTAGATCCAGGGTAGGCATGTCCCAGCCCTCTTTGATGACCGACTGGTAGCCCGCTCCCGCTCAGCTCACACACTGAGCACCATGGCTAGACATATCTCCATATGTTTTTTATCCTTGTAAATAAGCTTCTCTGAATGTATGTACTCACTTGTTTGTGTCTGCGAGTGTCGATTCTTACCTCCTGTCTTTACTAGCATTTTGTTATAGTGCTCATGTGTATGCGCTATTACCTGGAGTTTACCTGGAGAGAGTTCCGGGGGTCAACGCCCCCGCGGCCCGGTCTGTGACTAGGCCTCCTGGTGGATCAGAGCCTGATCAACCAGGCTGTTGCTGCTGGTTGCACGCAAACCAACGTACGAGCCACAGCCCGGCTGATCAGGAACTGACTTTAGGTGCTTGTCCAGTGCCAGCTTGAAGACTGCCAGGGGTCTGTTGGTAATCCCCCTTATGTGTGCTGGGAGGCAGTTGAACAGTCTCGGGCCCCTGACACTTATTGTATGGTCTCTTAACGTGCTAGTGACACCCCTGCTTTTCATTGGGGGGATGGTGCATCGTCTGCCAAGTCTTTTGCTTTCGTAGTGAGTGATTTTCGTGTGCAAGTTCGGTACTAGTCCCTCTAGGAATTTCCAGGTGTATATAATCATGTATCTCTCCCTCCTGCGTTCCAGGGAATACAGGTTTAGGAACCTCAAGCGCTCCCAGTAATTGAGGTGTTTTATCTCCGTTATGCGCGCCGTGAAAGTTCTCTGTACATTTTCTAGGTCGGCAATTTCACCTGCCTTGAAAGGTGCTGTTAGTGTGCAGCAATATTCCAGCCTAGATAGAACAAGTGACCTGAAGAGTGTCATCATGGGCTTGGCCTCCCTAGTTTTGAAGGTTCTCATTTTCCATCCTGTCATTTTTCTAGCAGATGCGATTGATACAATGTTGTGGTCCTTGAAGGTGAGATCCTCCGACATGATCACTCCCAGGTCTTTGACGTTGGTGTTTCGCTCTATTTTGTGGCCAGAATTTGTTTTGTACTCTGATGAAGATTTAATTGTATATATTTGTGTAGATGTGTATTTTATGCGCGATCACCTATCCGTAGTTACAAGAAATCTATGCTTAATTAAGTGTTCCGTTTTAATTTACGTTTCTCTTTTTTGCATTTCATGCAATACATACGTACATACCTACATATATATATATAATATATATATATATATATATATATATAATATATAATATATATATATATATATATATATATTATATATGTACCTGGATGACGGCACTCTGGCAGGTACTGAAGAGTCCCTCGTGGGGGACCTACAACTGGTGAAAACACAGGGAGAAGACTTGGGACTCATCCTCAATCCCTCCAAGTTTGAAATCATCACAGCGAACCAGGAAATAATCAATGCTGTGCGAAGAATCCTCCCAGAAATCTCAACTACAACTCCGTCCAACAGTACCCTCTTGGGGGCACCGCTGGGTCACCAGGCCATCGATACTGTCCTCAGGGACAAATTGAATGACCTGATGAGAATGGAGGAGAGAATAAGCGATCTTGATGCCCATGATGCTTTATATCTCCTCACAAGGTGTCTTACTATGCCAAGACTTCTTGAGGTGTGCACCCTCTTTTGACAACCCAACACTCGATGAGTATGACGCACACCTGAGATCAACTTTTAAGAAGGCACTGAACCTGTCACTAGAGGATGAGCAATGGGATCAGGCAACCCTCCCAGTGCGACTGGGAGGTATAGGGGTGCGTAAAGCAACGCATGTTGCTTTACCTGCTTTTCTGTCTTCGTGTTTGGCTTCCAGTACATTAGTCAAGAAGATAGTGCCCGAACGCTTGAGAGACTTGATAGGAGCTCAAGACCCCAGGTTTACTGAAGCAGCGATTCGGTGGGACACCCTTACAGACTCCTCCAGTAGACCAGCTCCTCCCAAACAGCACAACAGCCCCCACTGGGACAAACCGATCATGGAAAAAATCGCCAACACAATGCTCTCCAATGTTTCAGGAAAGAGCAAAGCTCGTCTCCTGGCAGTGAAGGCACCACACTCAGGAGATTTCCTGTTAGCTGTTCCCAATTCCTCCCTGGGCACCCGTACCGACCCACAGGCCATTCGGATTGGTGTTGCTCTTCGCCTAGCCGCCCCCATCCTCACCGAACATAGGTGATTTGCGGCAGGGCGACAGCTGATCAATTCGGACTTCATGCCCTCGAGTGCCACAAGCAGAAGGGAAGTATCCCAGACATGAGGAGTTTCAATGACAAAATAAAGAGAAGCCTCGCACAACCCGTTGCCCAGCTCAAGGGGAACCCCCCAAGTACAGAGGTCTGATGGAAGTCAAAAGCGTCCTGATGGAGCCACTATGCTACCCTGGAAGGATGGAAAGCAGATTGCCTGGGACAACACCTGTGCTGCCACATTGGCAGACACCTACTTGCCATACTCCGTAGTGGAAGGGGTGGAGCTGCCAGCCACAGGGAGACCCAGAAGATCCGAAAATATGAAGACCTTCCCCCTTGCTATAACTTCATTCCAATAGGGTCGGAGACCCTTTTAGCATGGGGCAAGTGGCTCTAAAGTTCCTCAAAGAGCTGGGTGAAAAGCTCATCAAAAAACCAAGGACCAAGGCGACCAGCTTCCTCTTTCAGAGACTCAGTGTTGCGATCCAAGAGGAAAAAGCCTGCACATTCTGGGCACGCAGCCCACCGCAGGGGAGGGATAAGTATGGATGTAGCTCTGAGTTCCATGTTTTACTTTCTGTTGTATTTTTGTGAATGTTTTGGCCAATGTATTTTGCTTTAAATAAAACATACTTGAAATATAGGGGGTTTGGGAGGAGAAAATTCTCAAACAGCTTCAGGAGAAACTTAGTTTTCCCTGAAGCAAGTTTATTCTTTCTCTGAGGATGAGGGGCCATGCAGTCTAGAGGTGTACCTCCCTATATTTTTTAATATATCATATATTTATATATATATATAATATATATATATATAAAATATAATATAATATTTTATATATATATATATTTAATATAATATAATTATCACTGGCGATTCCCCCAAGGGAAGGTGGCCCCAAAAGAAAAACTTTACCATCATTCACTCCCAAAAAGAATAACATAAGACATAAGAAAGAGGAAAACCTGCAGGAGCTGCTGGCCATACTAGGCAGGTCCTTTAAAAATTCATCCCACTAACAAAAATTTGCCCAAACATTTTCAAAGCCACCCAAAAATAAGTTGAGTGAAATCCCACTCAAATCCAACCCCCCCTCATGTATTATCCAACCTAGATTTGAAACTACCAAAGTCCCAGCCCCAAAAACCCAACAGTAGACTGTTCCACTCATTTACTGTTTGCCAGAAAGGGTGCTTTACCCCTACCCGTGTTTTAACTGAACATTAACACCCCCCTAGGTGCAGGCATGTACTTCCATCTCCAGGACTCAAGCGGCCTGCCGGTTTCCCTGAACCCTTCATAAATGTTACTTGCTCACACCCAACAGCACGTCAGTATTAGAACCATTTGTCCCCCATTTTATCCATCAAACACGCTCACGCATGCCTGCGGAAATCCAAGCCCTCGCACACAAACCTCCTTTACCCCCTCCCTCCAACTTTCTAGGCCGACCTACCCCGCCTTCCTCCACTCAGATTTATACCTTTGAAGTCACTCTGTTCGCTCCATTCTCTCTACATGTCGAACACCTCAACAACCCCTTTTTCAGCCCTCTGACAACAGTTTTTACCGTACCTCCTCCTAATTCCAAACTACGAATTCTCTGTAATATTCAAACCCCACATTGCCCTCAACATGACTCTCCACTGCCTCCAGCCTTCTCCTCGCTGCAACATTTATCACCCATGCTTCACACCCATATAAGAGCGTTGGTAAAACTATACTCTCATACATTCCCCTCTTTGCCTCCAAGGACAAAGTTCTTTGTCTCCACAGACTCCTAAGTGCACCGCTCACCCTTTTCCCCTCATCAATTCTATGATTCACCTCATCTTTCATAGACCCATCTGCTGACACGTCCACTCCCAAATATCTGAATACATTCACCTCCTCCATACTCTCTCCCTCCAATCTGATATCCAATCTTTCATCACCTAATCTTTTTGTTATCCTCATAACCTTACTCTTTCCTGTATTCACTTTTAATTTTCTTCTTTGCACACCCTACCAAATTCATCCACCAATCTCTGCAACTTCTCTTCAGAATCTCCCAAGAGCACAGTGTCATCAGCAAAGAGCAACTGTGACAACTCCCACTTTATGTGTGATTCTTTATCTTTTAACTCCACACCTCTTGCCAAGACCCTCGCATTTACTTCTATTACAACCCCATCTATAAATATATTAAACAACCACGGTGACATCACACATCCTTGTCTAAGGCCTACTTTTACTGGGAAATAATTTCCATCTTTCCTACATACTCTAACTTGAGCCTCACTATCCTCATAAAAACTCTTCACTGCTTTCAGTAAACTACCTCCTACACCATACACCTGCAACATCTGCCACATTGCCCCCCTATCCACCCTGTCATACGCCTTTTCCAAATCCATAAATGCCACAAAGACCTCTTTAGCCTTATCTAAATACTGTTCACTTATATGTTTCACTGTAAACACCTGG